TGGTGTTGGTCTCCAGGTGCGGGTTTCGAATGTTTGTCTGGGCATGAGTTGGGTTATTTGGCTGCCTACCTAGTTAGGCGTTTTGTTTGGCAGTTTTTGGTTCGGGCTCTGGGGCCGTAGCTCTGTCCGTTTGATTGGATGTCAGTTGGCGTCGCCGCTGTGTTAGCTTGATGTGGTTGACTGTTTGGGAAGGGGTAGTAATTTTTTTTCTAGTTGTGTTTTGGTGTTTTTGCGTGTGTTGTTGCTTCTTCGTTTTCCTGTGCGTTGTCGTTCTGTGTTTTTTCTCTCATTTGGGAGTTGTTTATTCTTTTGTTGGGAGCTTCCGTTTGTAGTTTTTAGTTTTAGTGAGTTGTGTATAGTTGGTTTTAGGTTGCCTCGGACTATTTGCCTACTGTGTTTGTCCTCCCAACTAGATTCAGCTGAGTAGCTGACTTATTTGGCTGTTTAGCTCTTTTCTAGTATGTAAAATACATGTTTTTCTTTTAGTGAAAGTCTATCATTTTTTAACATGAGATGTGCATTTTTTAATTAATACATAAATGTTTAACTTTTCGTGTTATGCAATGAGGAGTGAGAGTTTTTAGCAAATTAAATGTGCGTTGCCTCGCGAATGACAGGTCCAATCGCAAATGTTCAATCCATACTGCGTCAAGAATATATATATTCCACGTGATTATTCAAATCAAAACTTTTGACATAAATATACATAAATTGTGCTATACGATGCCTTTAGAACGAGGAGTTTAACACCACAGACTGCTCCATCACAAATGTCCCTCAAAGTGTATACATTTGAAGAAAAAAAAAAAAGGTTTCTTGCATTTCTTACTAATGTCTTATACCTTCCAATTTCTTTCAAAGATAACAACAGAATTTATTCCACTTTATTTACCGTATACATATATATACATATATGCGCCTATATATAATTTTTGTCGATAATTGCAAAACCTAAAATAATTTTGTGAAGCAATTTTTTGAGAAGATTTTAAGAGCAATGGCCAGAAATGTAACCAACACAAAGATGCTGCTCATGTTGCAACCTTTCAAAGTGTATGCTTCTCAGCAACTCCATCTCCATTCATTTGCTGTGATTTTGTTTGTTCTTTTAAAAAAATTTGGTGTTTTTGACATAATTATTTAGGCAAAAAATTCAATTTTGGTCCGTTTTTACTTGTCTAAAGTCTTTTTTTTTGTACATTAATTTTCCCCTCGCGTCAATAATAATACATTATGTTGTAATTTGTATAACTTTTGAGATATTGTCGCGAAAATGGTTCATTATTTTTTGGGATTAATGTCCTAAAAATGAAACAAACTGCAACACAACGTACTGTTTTCTGATGAACAATGTCCCAGAAACGATACAAGTTGTAACGTAATGTACTGCTTTTGATATGGAGAAAGTTAATTAGTATACCAGAAAATGACTTTAGACAAGTAAACGGACCAAAATTAAAATTTTTTCCTTTTGCGTAAAGCAGTAAAAACGTAGGAATTGTACGTTGCATGAGCAAACTGGCAAAACAAAAGGGCCAACGTGAAAACTCCGAAAAAATCCCCGAGGATGCGGTGGCTAATAATGAAGGGCGGCAGCCGCGGGAGGAGAGGGGAGGCTGCTGGATGCCCGACCCACGGACCGGAATATATTCTCCGGCCGGACAAGAATGGGTGATGGATGGTGTACCAAATGATGCTGCCTCATTTAGTTGTACCTTCTGGCTGAGGAACATTGAAGGAGTGGATGATTATAAGTCGGATGACACTGATGGGACTAATGCACCACAACTCTAATTATTCAAATCACCATGTTAACAATTGATGTTAATGTATGCTATCAATGTACCCTACAAGGTTAAAATAAGATAAAAATAAAAATAAAAATTATCTCAAGGCATGTATGCACGTAATTCATAAAGCTCCAATCTGGAGAAATTGATATGATCTAATGAAGAAAACATTAATATACTACAAGCATAACATCAACATCAGTACACTAAAAAGTTCAGGATGGTGGTAGTACGAAAATTTTAGGACCACATATGTAAGCTGTTCTTTCAAACATGTTTCGAAGTGAAAGTTGCAAGAAAAAAATTCTTAAATTCGGCTCTTTTGTGTTTATACTGTTGCCGATTCGTTCAACGTGCACATAAGGCAATGACCGAATTTATTCCATGTAGTTATATTACTAACTGTCGTAATAACACTCAACTAAACGCGCGACGGGACGCGCCCCTCTTTTTCCCTCAATTAACCAAATTGAAAAAGAAAAAAAGAAGAAAACCAGTTGCGTATTCTGTGATTTTGCTGCACCTCCTTCACCGACGACCCCCAGTCCTCGGAGTCCGTTGGGTCGTCGGTGCGTCTTGGCTCGGGTTCTTTACGTGTAGTGTTCAAAGGTGCTGCTGCTATGCTGTTGGACATTTTTCAAGCCCTCTAGCGTGGTTTCCGACGGCTTAGGGGCGGCTCCCCTTCTCCCCCATATAGTTTTTTGGATTTCATATCTGAATCGAAAACCGATTCTTCATCATCAGGCGGCATGAGTGGCAGCAGTTTTCGGTTTGAGGCTTTGTTGAATCTCTGTGCTATTGTAATATATTCAATCATTTATACATTTAGTATTGATATAAATATATCAATATTTTGTAGCCACAATTATTATAATAAATTATATACAATGACCAAGTATATTCGAATTAGATTTAAATGAGAAAATTTTCATAAATTATAAGTATAAAATGTGGTTGTGATAAAATTAATATATAATTTTATCATAATTAGTTATTTATTTATATATATGACATACATAGTTTTAATAAATAAAAAATAAATATAATTAACATGTAATAATTAATAAATATAAAAATTGTAAAACAATGTCATATACATTGGAATAACTAATTAGTGGTGAGAGTCATTTTGAGATATAAGAGGTCACAGTATCAAATCCTACTGTATGCAAAATTTATAAAATGTCAATATGGATTATGTGAAAGCTTGTGGACTAGGCCTTCTGATGTGGGTACAATGGTTGATTGTGATAAATAAAATATTTTATAAAATTAAAAATAATAATTTGTTATTTTTTTGGGTTAATTGTTAAATAAACCATAACCTTTTTGCGTTTGGCAATTTTATCCCAATCTTTAGGTAATTGCAAAATAATCTCGACCTAAATTTACTAATTGCAATCCCAATCTCGGACCTTCAAAAAACTGGTCGATTTGAAGGTGGTTCAAACAGATCGGAGCTCATATTTACGGGTTCACTCCAGATCTAGGAGGAGACTCATCACTGGTAGCTTACATCGACGTGGAATTTTCGGCTTTGTGCGTGGATATACATTAAATACGTGGAAATTGTCAACTTGCTACGTTGATGGCATAAAAACTCGTGTCAATTGAAGACATGAACACAAAATCGATCCACAAATTCCGAAAATCAATCACTCAGCACCTAAATTTGCAATAAGTAAATTGAGGTCAAGATTATATTGCAATTACCCAAAGATTGGGATAAAATTGTCAAACGCAAAAAGGTTAAGGTTTATTTAGTGTTTTAAATGACGAATATTTAAATTTGTCATGTAATGATATATTTACGTGACAAAATTCGATTGTAAAAAATGACAACTTCGTCACTATATGTTAATATTTAGATGACAAAATATCAGTTCGTCATTTAAATTTGATCTTTTAGTGACGATTTAAAAATTTCAATGACGAACTTTTTATATTTAAAGTGATGAGATAGACGTCACTAAAACTAATTTTTTAATGACAAACATAATAATGTCACATAGACATTTTGTGACGCGGCTACTGTGACGAACGCCGTGACGAAAATTTTTCATCACTATATACTTTTAGTGACGAAAAATAGATTTTTTACGATAAATATTTTCGTCATAAAAATATATTTAGTATATATACTAAAAATATATTTAGTATATATATTTTTTATTCAATACCATATGTTGTCGCTTGTTGAATTTGACCAATAATGTTATTATGCATATATATATAAAAAAATATATGAAACACTAAATTCGATTAGTTTATTAAAATAATTAATTTATTCGACCGAGTAACGGGATTATTTTAGTTAACCGAACTGAAATACTGTATTAGTTTTTTTTTTTTATAAAAATATATTTAGTTTATAAATTGATTAAATAAAATATTATTTATAAGTATGTTTTTTTAGTTACTTGACAAAATAATGTCGCCCACAAACTGAAATAATCGTGACCGTAGAAGTAAAAACAAATTATCAAACTGGTTCAATTAATTAAGTGCAATTTGATAGTCATTAGTGTGCAATTTATCTAAAAGTATAGCGCAATTCATCTAACAGTACCGTGCACTTAGAGTGCATATATATTTTAATAATTTGTTCTAATACAAACTAAAACTGAAATTAAATAATTGGTAACCGAAGTACTATAAATAATATAAATAACTTAATATTTTATGTTATAAAAAAATATATTTAGTATTTGATTATTTATATTTAATAATTTATATTTTCTAGCTGAAAATAAATAATATTTACATATATATATATATATATATTATTTTTTGTGTAGTTAGTCGGTTTGATTATTTTAGTTATTTTAAAAAAGTAATTCATATGGATATGATATAATTGATATTATACAAATAAAAATAGAGAATCAACCAGAAATATATGATTTCGAAGAAAAATTTTTAAGTCATTCAATTTCGATACTTATGTGCAATACATCTAACATTATGGTGCAACCTGGTAGTCGTTAAAGTGCAATTCGTCTAACACTACTGTGCAGTCACAATGTATTTATTATTTATTATTATAAAAGTATATTTATTATTTTAATATTAAAATTTTACATATTAAAACCTTTTAAATAGTGTACATTTTATTTATCATTAATATGCATTTATGAGACATTTCTATATTGGAAACGAAATCTTTAGTCCATTAAGTTTCAGTCATTATGTACAATTCGTCTAACATTATGGTGCAACTTGGTAGTTGTTAAAGTGCAATTTGTCTAACGCTATTTGTGCAGACGCACGCAGTGTATTTATTGTTGTTATCATAAAAGTATATTTTAACATTTTTCATATATTAAAATTTTGAATATTAAAATTTATAGACATTGAACAATTTATTTATCATTAATATGAATTTATGATATGTTTTTATAAATTACATATTTGGTCATAAACTAAATTAAAAAAAATATTCAAAATTAATAAAGTTATAAATTTGTCCATCAACATTGTCTAATTAAAAAAA